ATTTGTCCCATCCATGACGAATTGAATTAGTTACCCAATCGAAGAAGCATAAGGCAAACCAACTCCAAAATAGATTGGTCAAAAACCCTATGGCAAGTGCACCTACGCGGCAAATCTAAACCATGTGCACGTCGCGATCCACAAAATTCACAAAATCCACAATCTACATTCCGCAGATTTCTATTTATCCCATGACAAAGACGGAGAAATTGTATTCTGTTGAAAATAAATCAAAGACTTTTGCATGTGCTAAAAACTTGTAGGCTTAGGGGCTCACTTACGGCCACTTCTTTGGATGCATGCAATAACAAAACTACGTTTTCAAAGTACGTCGTAACAAGATCCTCTTTGTGCAGTACAATTATATTTTCTGGGAAATAAAGACCACTCTTTGTACTTTTGTAGTAAAGACAAAACATGAAAGGTAAAAATCAAGCATATAAAGATTTGCAAACCAAATCTTATCGTATCACACGCTTCGACAAGATTAGAATGCAATGTCGGTTAAGAATTATTAACAACAAGCACTCATATATTTTAGCCACTCTAATACATCATCCTTTTTTAATACAGTGGATAATTACATTATTAAACTGTAAACTAATACTTGCTTAAGAATCAAGTCACTAAACCACTCGGTCTAATTGATGTGCCATCCCCGACATTGTAAAGCAAAATGCCCCATTATATAGTAAAGTAATTAATTGCGTGCACATATTTACACTGTTAATTGCTATAAATTAAGCAGGGTTGGATCATGGATGGTCCATCTGACTTGTGGCTCCTTTTAATTATTGATTCAGGTCAATGTCATTAAATTACTCTCTATGATTTTCTTCATGTGATTAGTGAAGCTGTGGCCTGTGGCAGACAACATCTTAGAGATTGAATTTACCACACAAAGTTTGTGATAGTACTTCATCTTTCTTTTCTTTTTTCAGAGATATAAGTCAAGAAAAATCTAAATTTTGGATATGTTCAAAATTCAAAACTATATAGGTCAAATAAGGTTTGAGTAATATTATTTTTGAAGTAGCGGATTCATTCCAAATTTTTTATTCTGGATCTAAATTATATCATGACATAAGCTAGCTAGCTAGGTACCAAAACATTGATACTACCCGATTCTAATACTATTTTTCTCTTTCTTTGTTACGAAACAAATAGGATTATGAAAACACCAACATTGCAAGTGTGGATTTGGTTGAAGGGAGTTAATAAGATGATTTAAATTATTTTTTGTGCTTGCAATCATCTAGAACAAAATAGACTCGTTTGAGTCCCACCGGCTAAATTACACGTTTCGTCACTCAAATTATACAAATCTTTCATGTTTTACACCCTAATTACTTTTCTTTCTTATTCGCCATTAACTTTATGGTTCGTTTCACCGTTAGTCACTGACCGTTACATTCTGTTAAATTTGTCATACGTGGCAGCCAACTATAAAGTTTGACAGTTAACTAGATGACGTGGAAATTTAAAAAAAAAACATTAATTTTTCACATCATCATTCCACTTGTCACTATGATTTATCATATTAATTGTTTAATAGAAATTAACAAAGTAAAAATGACAAGGTGCTAATGCACGAATCTTCATTCCCGCAATTCCGGCACATCCTACTATTACTGCTCTCCGGACTCCGGCGCCTCATCCTCTTCCTTCTAGTCAACCAACAGGTTTCCGCCATCGTTGTATCGTTCGCAATCGCCGTTGCTTCCGCAACAGGACTGAGCGGCGTCCATCAACGACTGGTGGTTGTTCCGCTGTTGGTCTTGTTTCACGGCGAGGACTTGTTCCATATTGGAACGGATGGCGTTGCCGTTGGTCGTCGCCTCGTTGTGCTCTGCGTTAAATCTGGGCAGATTTGGTTCTCGAATGCACAGCGACTTCGATTTCTCTTCTAGTGCCCAATTCAGTTTCCCAATCTTGTCGATCTCGCCTCTTTGGCCTTGAGCTGCTTCGGCATTCTTTCCACGGTCACTTGGATTATCCTCCTCACTTGTCTCTTCCTCTTGTCATTCAATTCCGCCCTCACTTTCTCCATCTGTTACAACAACAACAAAAATCCACAATCAATCACCAATTAAATTGAGATTTTTTTTAAATCGAGCAGTGTTACTCCGGCAAGAACTTACATTGTGAGAAATCAGGCGGTCGACGTCGAGTTGCTGCTACTGGATTTGGAAGGAGAAATCGTTGCCGAGAAACAAGAACGGAATACCCCCCTAACTCCGTCGTTGCGGGTTGCTTTGCCATTGTTGTTCGACTGATGAGGCGCTTGATACGATGAGAACATAGGATTTTCATTCATACAATCAATCGGCCGCTTCCTCGACCCAGAAATCTGACTGCTGTTGTTGTTGTTGAACGTCAACAGGCCACTGACCTCCGATTTGATCGTCGTCGTGGTGCTGGAAAGGCACGCCAAACCCGACCAGACTTGATCACCGCCGTGTCGTTCGACTGGCTGGGGAGGGAAGAGATTGAGATGGCTGGCCTCGAGCGCCATTACAGAGAGTAGAAGGAGTGTGTGATGGAGAGATGGAGAGATATAGAGAGAGATGAGAGGTTTATGAATGGATTACAGAGAGTAGAAGGAGTGTGTGATGGAGAGATGGAGAGATATAGAGAGAGATGAGAGGTTTATGAATGGTTTGGTGGTAAAGAGAGAAACAGAGGTGGGAAAATAATTAATACTAGTTTTTTATCCCGCGCTTCGCTGCGATATGAAATTAATTAAATTTATCATTTTATTTACTTAATGATGATTTAGTTAAAATCAAATAATTATTAAATAGTCATCTAAAACACCTCCATTAGCGTTGTATAATGTCTTAAATATCATGAAAAACATACATAACGCATTGTTATGTAAATCTTTTGTAATGAATGCTCCGATAATAATCAAGTTACATGTAAGCCTCATATATGATTAAACTATGATGTAAAATTATATTATCTTACGAAGCTGTTACGTAATGCAAATTGATGTGCTGGTAAATTTTCTAGGCATTAATAAAGAAAAGTATCTAATTTTATTAAATTGTTATGTAAAACTAACCGAACTTACAAAACTTTGGTGAAATACAATTTAATGAGATGACCAACAATTGAGTTAAAATTTGGATTTTCATTCAAACTTCTATTATGGTAGACTTACATATTGTATTTATTTATTTGAAACATAAGAAACTATTTTCCCTCCACAAATTTGAAGTAGAATCTTAGTTATTAAAGAAGACTTATGCAATACATTAACTTTGATAAATATGGAAAAACTTTCCCTCTGTATGCTTTACGTAATGTATTTTAATTTACATATTGTTATAAATAGTGTTATGAAAATATTTCATAATATGTGTTCTAATAATAAAATCTGTAAAATATCACATTTGATTAAACCACTATTTAAAAATTAACTTACATTACAGACAGTAATAGTCAAATGGAATGAATACTGTGGTAATCATTTTAAGTGACTGGTTTGATTTTAGATCTTACTAACTAATGAACCAATTAAACAATTACCCATATATCTAATATATTATATACTAATACTTAATGTTTTGCTTTACCACTTAAAATCAACCATTCCTCCATTTATAGCCAACTCCACATCTTACCCAGTTCCAATTTGTATGGTTGGTAAACACACCTTGAGTCAATGAGTTTCTAGCTTTACAATTGTTATTAACAAAAAAAAATAGATAATAACTCCCATAGATAATTTGTTACATCTTGGTGTAATATTATTAAATTTCCTTATTTAACTATTAAAGTTCTCTTAACACCGTCCATTAGGACTGGCCAATCGGTTAGCTGTTAGTTGTTAACCGATCCGTTACAATCGAAACCGGTCGGTTATCCACTAATTGAAAATCCAGATAACCGAAACGAAATCGGTGTTCGAAGGCTGGGCAATATGATTTTGGTCTTGACTCTTGAGGGCGGTTCGGTAAACCGAAAACCGAGATAATCGAAGACTTAAACCCTCTTTCGGTAGGTGGGCGGTAAAATTGGTGGTGATTCGGCTGACCAATAATCGAACATTCAATTTTTGGTTATAATCGAACCGACCGGTCCACCGCGCCTACCATAAAAAACTTTAAATAATAGTTTGTGTTTTTTTCCCAAGTCTTCACCATGCATGATAATGACTTCCATCTCATCAATTCCAAACTACCCAATGATTTTTCCATTGCAGGCCACGTGCCTCCCTTTATGACAGGTGGAAAAACAACAGTGCCACATAGCCCATTAACTTCCCTTCCCTTCCCTTCTCCATCCTTCTCCATGTTTAATATAATTTGTTCTGCTTGAGTGCTGGCCGCCTGGCCGGCCATTTTCACGCTTTCATACTTTGAGCTACGATCCCATTGCAGAGGAGGAGAAGAGAATAGGTGAGCTCCCTTCCATCTCAATGATGAGTGCAGATAGTAGGCAAGTTCCCTCCCATCTTAATCATGAATGTATTGCAAGGAGACGATGATTGGGTTAGAAAACCAATCGCATGCAGTATAATTTAAAATAAGCGTCTAAACTTATTCTTCTCTCGCTCAAGGAGATATGGAGTTTTGGAAGAATGGTATATGGACGTCAATTTCACTGTTTGTTTGGTTCATGTTGAATGGATTGGGAAGGAAGAAAGTTACGGACTTGCAATTGAAGGGCTGCAAATTAAATGATGAAGAAAGACGGAGATGAACAGAAGATATCGTTTACTTGACCAGCCCAACGGACATCACTTTTGTACAACCCTTTGTATAAAGACAGTGAACAATTACAGATTGAGACGCTTGGGCAGCGGTTATGCATTCGATAAAGTACGCACGGCGGTAGGGAATTAAAAAAGAGAGACGTGAACAGTGATCACGAATTAAAAGAGGTAATCCGTTTTTGTCGTATGAAACAGTAAAAAAAACTCGGTGCTTAATAATTCTAGTTTGAGAATTTTGGGAATGCATGGATTTGAAATGCACAGATCTGATTTTTCTGCTTGTTATATTGTTTCTCCAGCAACTCCAGAAGGACCTCCCAAGTTCCTGTACCAACCACCTCGATCCAACTTCGATATTTACTCTCTTGACGAGTTTCCTTAGTGAAATGGAAGAATGATTTCAACATTAATGATGGAATTTTTGTTGTTGTTGTAGTGCTTCTTCCCCCAGAATTTGATAGCCAACATTCAGACCCCAATGTTTCTTCTCAATGCAGCCTATGATGCTTGGCAGGTATCACACCACCTTCATTTTTCCCACACATCTCTCACAATAATGAACGAATTGCACCGACGTGAAGTGTAACCTGATGCTGTTGTTTGATGTGCATCAGGTTCAAGCTAGTTTAGCTCCACCAACTGCTGATCCTCATGGCGACTGGGATGACTGCAAGAAGAACCACGCCGAGTGTAATGCGACACAGATCAATTTCTTTCAAGGTCTCTCCTCTCCTCTCTTTTTTGTTTTCTTAATTGTTTCAATATGTTTGGACAGTAGACTAAAAAATGAAGCCTTTCTTCCAAACAGACTTCAGGAACCAGATGCTGAATGCAGTAAAGGGTTTCTCCACGTCCAAACGAAATGGGTTGTTCTTAAATTCTTGCTTTGCACACTGCCAGACTGAAAGGCAGGATACCTGGTTCGCCGACGACTCTCCTGTCGTCGATTGATGAATTTGCTAATATGATTTTATTGATGGAAAGCTTGAATGTTACAGAAGGTTTCCTACTCTATTTATACAAAAGGAAAGACTCACATATGAGCTTCTTGGTTTGTGAGAAAGACATAAAAAAGATTATCTCTTTATCTAGTAATAACTAGGAATGATGCTTCTGATGAAAGTGTGGTAATTGTAAATAGAGTTGTTGGTGGTTGCTGCAGATGAGGTGTTGCAAGTTGTTGTTGTGGCAGACTATTGATGGAGCAACATGGCTCAACATGCCATGTTGCTGGAATGGTCATCATCTTCAACACTCCCCCTCAAGCGTAGACATGAATGACAAGAATGTCAAGTTTGAAAAGCAAATGTGTGGAACGGAAACGGGTAATGATCTTTTGTAGGATCGTGACTCCGTTTGAACGTCTTGGACGAGGTTGATGTTGGAGGCCACTGGCGGCGTCTCTTTGAACAACCTGATGGATATGTCGAATTAAATCGACTCACTAGTTCGGGTTTGCGCCGTTTACGGCTCCCAGGAAAAGTTGCTGCTTCTCAGCTAACTTTCCTCTCTTTGAAACAGCAACTGCTCATTGACTAGCTAGTTTTCCCTTCAGCTTTTCGATGGAACTTCAATTTAGGATATGTTGCGACTTCTTGGCTGGTTAGCATCCCTATCCTCCTTATTCTCCCCCTCAAGCTGGAGCATGAACACTGTGAATGCCCAGCTTGAAAGGTGATGAATAATTGGTCTTAGCCCAATAATAAACACCAAGGGGTCGATCTTTTCTAGGATCGTTTCTTCCATTTGAAGCGCCGAGGGGACGATCTCTTCTTGGATCATACAACCGTCTAAAAACGCCTTGGGAACGATCTGATCGAGAGTGCCTCGTGAAGCTGAGGGGCCGATCTTTTCTTGGGTCATGTTTGTCCATTGGACGCCGAAAGGACGATCTCTTCTTGGATCGTACGACCGTTTAATAACGCCAAGAGGACGACCTGATCGGGAATACCTCGCACCGTGACTAGACATACCATGCCACTAGCTCAAAATGGGACAAAGAACCAATCATATATGCTTGGGCCTAGACTGAATAAGATGGCCTCCATTTTTTTTGCAACCCAGTCCGTTGGGTTTTGAAAATGGGCCTTGACCTGATGAAGAGGCCCAATCTGTGGGGAAATGAGATGGCCTTAGTGGCATCAGTAGGGTTTGGAAAAACCCATTGGCCTCCCTTCATTTCCTCTAGCGCCGCAGCATCCTTTTCTTTCTTCCTCCTCCTTTTTTTTTTATAATAATCTCTTCTCTTCGTACCCCAACCGATCAAAGCACCCAACAATGGCAGCAAAGATCCGCGGCGATGGTGATGACGAAGGGACGGTGGGGACGATGGCGAGGATGTGCAGCGACGGGTGGGAAGACTTGACGGCGGGAAGGAACGGCGACGGCGGCCGTGACAGGGCGACATCGACGGTGATACGGAAATCAAGGCGGCGAAGACGAATGAAGTGCCTGACTCATGGTGACGGCGGCGGTGATGACGACGGGCTGGGTGGATGATTCAAATCGACGGATCTTTTACTTCCACCGTCTCCCTCTTATAAATCGCCTCTGCTCGTTTCCCGCCGTAGTTCTGGTTTCGGCGCCGGTGCCCCTTGATTGACGACGTCGGCTTGATTTGGAGCTTGCAGGAGGTCCGGTGGTGACCGCCGTGGTGACACAACAGCCGGCCAGAGAATGGTACTGTGGCGCGGCAATGATGGCTGCACTTGATGGCGGTGACTGGTGTGAGGATCCATAACAATGGCTTCTTCCGGTGCTTCTGCTACTCCTGTAGAAGCCAGAATCCTCCTTTGGATTTGATAGTGTGATTTATAGCGGAAGCTTGAGAGAGAATGGTGACTGGAATGGCTGAATCATTGATGGTGGAAGTTGGAGATGAGAAACCTGGAGAATGCTCACTCATGATTGGAAGGTATAGAAAATACTTTGTGGACTGAAAGTTGAAGTTTAGATACAGAAGGTTTGGAAAGAAAGATTTAGAAACTCAACAGAATCGTTTCTTCCTTTTCTTCTTTTTAGGCTTTCCGATACTGGATTCAGAATCCAGCTCTGATACCATGATGAATTTGCTAATATGATTTTATTGATGGAAAGCTTGAATGTTACAGAAGGTTTCCTACTCTATTTATACAAAAGGAAAGACTCACATATGAGCTTCTTGGTTTGTGAGAAAGACATAAAAAAGATTATCTCTTTATCTAGTAATAACTAGGAATGATGCTTCTGATGAAAGTGTGGTAATTGTAAATAGAGTTGTTGGTGGTTGCTGCAGATGAGGTGTTGCAAGTTGTTGTTGTGGCAGACTATTGATGGAGCAACATGGCTCAACATGCCATGTTGCTGGAATGGTCATCATCTTCAACATCGATCAGAAGGTAAAGCTGGCTACTTCATGAATTTCTGATGTGGCGATTTGATTGATACTTGGTTGAGGAATCTAATCTGAGATCTGTGGTATTTGCAGACAATTGCACAATCAGTTGGAGACTGGTACTTCGATCGCATGGTTGTCAAAGCAATTGACTGCCCATAAACATAGGATTTTCATTCATACAATCAATCGGCCGCTTCCTCGACCCAGAAATCTGACTGCTGTTGTTGTTGTTGAACGTCAACAGGCCACTGACCTCCGATTTGATCGTCGTCGTGGTGCTGGAAAGGCACGCCAAACCCGACCAGACTTGATCACCGCCGTGTCGTTCGACTGGCTGGGGAGGGAAGAGATTGAGATGGCTGGCCTCGAGCGCCATTACAGAGAGTAGAAGGAGTGTGTGATGGAGAGATGGAGAGATATAGAGAGAGATGAGAGGTTTATGAATGGTTTGGTGGTAAAGAGAGAAACAGAGGTGGGAAAATAATTAATACTAGTTTTTTATCCCGCGCTTCGCTGCGATATGAAATTAATTAAATTTATCATTTTATTTACTTAATGATGATTTAGTTAAAATCAAATAATTATTAAATAGTCATCTAAAACACCTCCATTAGCGTTGTATAATGTCTTAAATATCATGAAAAACATACATAACGCATTGTTATGTAAATCTTTTGTAATGAATGCTCCGATAATAATCAAGTTACATGTAAGCCTCATATATGATTAAACTATGATGTAAAATTATATTATCTTACGAAACTGTTACGTAATGCAAATTGATGTGCTGGTAAATTTTCTAGGCATTAATAAAGAAAAGTATCTAATTTTATTAAATTGTTATGTAAAACTAACCGAACTTACAAAACTTTGGTGAAATACAATTTAATGAGATGACCAACAATTGAGTTAAAATTTGGATTTTCATTCAAACTTCTATTATGGTAGACTTACATATTGTATTTATTTATTTGAAACATAAGAAACTATTTTCCCTCCACAAATTTGAAGTAGAATCTTAGTTATTAAAGAAGACTTATGCAATACATTAACTTTGATAAATATGGAAAAACTTTCCCTCTGTATGCTTTACGTAATGTATTTTAATTTACATATTGTTATAAATAGTGTTATGAAAATATTTCATAATATGTGTTCTAATAATAAAATATGTAAAATATCACATTTGATTAAACCACTATTTAAAAATTAACTTACATTACAGACAGTAATAGTCAAATGGAATGAATACTGTGGTAATCATTTTAAGTGACTGGTTTGATTTTAGATCTTACTAACTAATGAACCAATTAAACAATTACCCATATATCTAATATATTATATACTAATACTTAATGTTTTGCTTTACCACTTAAAATCAACCATTCCTCCATTTATAGCCAACTCCACATCTTACCCAGTTCCAATTTGTATGGTTGGTAAACACACCTTGAGTCAATGAGTTTCTAGCTTTACAATTGTTATTAACAAAAAAAAATAGATAATAACTCCCATAGATAATTTGTTACATCTTGGTGTAATATTATTAAATTTCCTTATTTAACTATTAAAGTTCTCTTAACACCGTCCATTAGGACTGGCCAATCGGTTAGCTGTTAGTTGTTAACCGATCCGTTACAATCGAAACCGGTCGGTTATCCACTAATTGAAAATCCAGATAACCGAAACGAAATCGGTGTTCGAAGGCTGGGCAATATGATTTTGGTCTTGACTCTTGAGGGCGGTTCGGTAAACCGAAAACCGAGATAATCGAAGACTTAAACCCTCTTTCGGTAGGTGGGCGGTAAAATTGGTGGTGATTCGGCTGACCAATAATCGAACATTCAATTTTTGGTTATAATCGAACCGACCGGTCCACCGCGCCTACCATAAAAAACTTTAAATAATAGTTTGTGTTTTTTTCCCAAGTCTTCACCATGCATGATAATGACTTCCATCTCATCAATTCCAAACTACCCAATGATTTTTCCATTGCAGGCCACGTGCCTCCCTTTATGACAGGTGGAAAAACAACAGTGCCACATAGCCCATTAACTTCCCTTCCCTTCCCTTCTCCATCCTTCTCCATGTTTAATATAATTTGTTCTGCTTGAGTGCTGGCCGCCTGGCCGGCCATTTTCACGCTTTCATACTTTGAGCTACGATCCCATTGCAGAGGAGGAGAAGAGAATAGGTGAGCTCCCTTCCATCTCAATGATGAGTGCAGATAGTAGGCAAGTTCCCTCCCATCTTAATCATGAATGTATTGCAAGGAGACGATGATTGGGTTAGAAAACCAATCGCATGCAGTATAATTTAAAATAAGCGTCTAAACTTATTCTTCTCTCGCTCAAGGAGATATGGAGTTTTGGAAGAATGGTATATGGACGTCAATTTCACTGTTTGTTTGGTTCATGTTGAATGGATTGGGAAGGAAGAAAGTTACGGACTTGCAATTGAAGGGCTGCAAATTAAATGATGAAGAAAGACGGAGATGAACAGAAGATATCGTTTACTTGACCAGCCCAACGGACATCACTTTTGTACAACCCTTTGTATAAAGACAGTGAACAATTACAGATTGAGACGCTTGGGCAGCGGTTATGCATTCGATAAAGTACGCACGGCGGTAGGGAATTAAAAAAGAGAGACGTGAACAGTGATCACGAATTAAAAGAGGTAATCCGTTTTTGTCGTATGAAACAGTAAAAAAAACTCGGTGCTTAATAATTCTAATGATAAATGATATAGAGAAAGTAAGTGGAATGATGAGATGGAAAAAAAAAAAATTTAATTTTCACACCATCGAGTTAACGGTCAAACGTTATAGTTGACTGCCACGTAGGACACATTTAACGGAGTGTAACGGTCGGTGACTAACGGTAAAATGATTTGTAAAGTTAGTGGGGAATAAGAAATAAAAGTAATTCATGTGACAAACGTGAAAATTTGTATAATTTAAGTGACCAAACGTGTAATTTAGCCGAGTCCCACCCAAACAAGTTAACCCAAATTGGACTCAATCCAAACCCAACCCATATGCAAAACAATTAAAAGTGCATATGAGTCAATTTGGGTCCGACACAACACCTATATGGACCATGACAACTGGGTCAAATTACCCCATGATTCGACCCATTGTCATTCCTAATAAAACGACATGAAAACACTCATCCAACCCTATATATCAATTTCAACTCAAGTTATGTGAAGACAAGGAAAGTACTATTTTATACCCTTAATTATGGCTACAATTGCATGGTTTTCATATCTTTACTATGATTGATAATCACTAAGATGCTTTTTAGTAGCTCTATGACTGCTTTTACTATTTTGATGCGCTTTTGATAGTGTTTCATGTGCTTTCAGGCCTAGTGGACCATTTTGTACGAGTAGGGGAATATTAAAGTCCAGGTGCTAAGAGTCAGAATGCGAGATGGGTTCAAGCCCGGAAACAACATGGAAATCAATATGCTAAAGGCTAAAATGGCACCTCGGGCGCCATTTTTGGGATCTCCATATCGAGCCTAGAATCTAAAGGAATATGCCAAACTTGGTGGCCAAGTTGGAAAAGACGCGACGAAGCATAAGGATATCGCCTTAGACATAGCATAAATGTTCAATACTCCAATTCAATATGCAATATTCATCGATATTCAGACAAATGATATATGAGTTTCAAACCTTCCTCAAATTTTAAGACAAAAAAAAAATATTTCCCCTCCCCCCTCACACACATTTGCAAAGAAATACTATATCTCGATTTCTTCTTCACTTCACTTACTTCTAAAGTTATTGTTGACGTTGTTTGTTATTACTGCAAGCTGTAAAAAAGACTTTTCAGCTATGAAGTTAATCAAGAATGATTTTATAAATGAATTTTTAGTTGTATACATTGAAAAAGATTTGAGTCTCAAAAATAAACAATGAATGTATTTTATAAACCTTTTAGAATATGAGCCGTCACATGTTGATGTGAGAAACTACTCATTATTTCAAATTTTATATGTTATTTTTAGAATATTTTGTTTTATTTTTATAAAATGATGCATTTCTCCATAAAACATGAGTTCACAAATATAGACTGTGTGGTGCTTGCACTTGTGCGCGAGCCCTTGAAGTTTAAGTCTAGTACGACCCATGAAGCATTCATGCTTGTACATGGCCGATCCATATACATTGTCTTCATGATATGCTCTAACTGTGTCGTGCTAGCTCGACCATGTGCCTAGGTATAGTTATATGCATTATAATAATTAAGTTTCTACCTATTCACAACACCAAGATAATAACAGTCATAAATACACCTAGTATTCGATTTTGACTACCTCATGCAATACTACATTTGAATAAACTACAATTGATGTCACAAATAATAATTATACCTCTATATCATACATAAAATATTTCAAACATCACAAATATTAAGATTAAATTAATTATTATAAAGAGTGAAAATTGTATAATGAGGTTAATTATAACTCATTTATATTTTAATTACCTATAAATTGATCAACACATCCGATCCAAAACTGACGAAATAAACATCACATTAAACTCGATATCGTCTCATTGTTGTTGGTCCATTCATGCCCGATTAGTAAGAGTTTAACGTTTAGCGGTTAACCGGGCTAAAATTTTAGAGAACCACTCAACTATCGTTTGTACTAAATATTATTGTTTCGTATTAGTTCAGAAAATTCATATTAATTTAGAGAATTCAACATCGCTTTTGCATATTCAATGCTGCAGTTCGATATGCAATATTTCAAGCAATGAAATTTGTTTTGCAATTTTAAGATTACCCGTCATTTTATAGGTTATAAAAATTATAAATTACGTATTAAACTTTGCTTTTCAGAAGATATAATAGGCTAGCTAACCGTGAAAAATCCTCTGTTTTTCAAATCTTCGCTTAGTGCAGGTTTACAATTTATGAAGATAAAATAAATTTGTTTAGTATAATTGGTTGTGATTATTATTTTTGTTTGAAGAGAGCATGGTTCAAATCTTGATATTGATACTTTTTCATATAAGTAGATAATAATTGTGATGACAAAAATACTCTTCCTATTTTCACTCTCGCTTCACGAAATTTGAAATAGAAAATCTTAAGACATTGAATATATCTTATAAAAAGAGCTTCTTCAACCAAGTAGGAAAACTATTTTACATGAAATTACTGTATCTTATAGAAAGTGATTAATTGTGAAATCGGAACTCAAGTAACATTGATTCACATATTAAATAATAAACTGTATGTGTGGCTTAGTTTAGACAAAATACATATGTGTAGCCAAAACATGGATCTTTGTGACAAATATAGTAATTTTTTTTTGTCACAAATCTACACATACTATAAATATAAATTGGGTACTATGATGAAAAAGAGTTTCCTATAATCACTCTCAGGCCACGAAATTTGAAATGAAACTCTAATTTTCCAATTTTATCATTATATTATGTGTGGATTTGTCACAAAAAATGATTATACTCGTCACAAAGGTCCATGTTTTTATTACACTTATGTATTTTGGCTGAACTAAACAACACATACAATTTAATATTAATGTCTGAATCAATACTACTTGAGTTTCGATTTCAGAACTAATATCTTTCTATACAATATAAACAACCTAAGATAAAATATAAATATAGAAACATAATCCTAGAGTTCAATAAAAAAATAACAATAAATAAAATGTAGTCTAGTTGGTTATAATATTTTTTCTTCATTCAAGTGACCAATGTTCGAACTCCAATGATAACATTTTTAATATATAAAGATGAAATGAGTGTAATAACAAGGTTTAATACCTTATTTTGGCCCGAACTATGATCATATAATCAACTTTGGCCCGTGGTTTCAGAAAGTAACATCCTGGCCTCAACTATGCAGCATATAGACTCAATTGGCCCGATACATGGTTTGACTGTCAATTTGGATGGTCAACACCGTTAACCGTTAGTCAACACGCCATGTCATTGCATCGTTAGCCTAAAAATTATTAAAAAAATCAAAATCAAATTATTTTCCTAATTTCTATTATTTATCATTTTCAAATTAACCATAAAATAAAATTTTAAAAATATAAATTAAAATTTATTTTTTAATTTTGGGATATTTGAAAATGATAAATTTTATAAATTAACCAAAAATTATCAAATTAAATTTTATAAATTTAGAAAGTATGATATAAATTGTATATTTTACTTTTGGGTAATGTTAAATATATAAAATAATTTGATAATTTTTGGTTAATTTATAAAATTTATCATTTTCAAATTACACAAAAAATAAATTTATTTTATATTTTTTATAAAGTTTTTTTTTAAATTTGATTATAAATAATAGAAAATAAAAAATAGTATGAATTTGAATTTTTTAATGATTTTTAGGCTGACGAGGCAATGACATGGCGTGTTGACTGACGGTCAATGGTGTTGACCATCCAAATTGACGGTCTAACTAGGTGTCTGGCCAATTGAGTCTATATGTTACATAGTTGAGGCCGGGATGTTAATTTCTGAAACCACGGGCCAAAGTTGATTATATGGTTATAGTCAGTGGCGTAGCCAGAAATTTATCTAAGGTGGGTCAAATATGAAAAAGATATATATAACGTATGTTGTTGAATGTGTTCATGTTTTGAAAATTTTCTAAAATATATTCATCAAGCAATTTATGAGAGATGTTAAGATATCACAACGAAAAATCGTTCATGATTACACAACTCATCTTATTATGAAGTATTTCTTTACTTTGCTAATTGCATAAGTACTCTTTCAATACTTGAATGACAACCGATAGCAACAAACAGGTCTAAGTAATAACATTACTTTTCGAGTTTTTGTATATACTAAAATCTCTTATCGAATATATAAACTAAAAGTTAAATAGAGATCATAAAACATTACTTTACGTAAAATTATCTACAATCATATAGAAATTCTGTATTTATCAACAATCATATAAATTAATTTACTTCATATTTTTTGGGCCAAGGTGGTGCAAATGACCCACCTTGGTCTCATGTGGCTCCGCCACTGGTTATAGTTCAGGCCAAAATAAGGTATTAATCCTAATAACAAAGAATGATCTTTCTAGAATTACTCTCAAACCACAAAATTTGAAATGGGAGAATTCCAAGAGGTTTGTTTGTTCTAAGTGCGTTCTGATAGGAACCTGAAGAGTGAAGACCCCACCAGCTGCAGATGAAAGATGAGGACTCTACTTTTTGGTTTTGCTTTTCTTATTGCCGTTTTGCGCGCGCTTTACAAATGTTTGGCCCCTAGCGACATGCACTAGGCCCCTCTAAATGGGATGATGGCTCACCCTCACCCACCCACCCGCCCGCCGGTCTTTCTTTTCTTTATATACTAACTAACAAAATCACCTCTCATCTCTTCTCTTCTCTTCTCTTCTGTCTTCTTCCACTCCACTCCACTCCCCGGCCGCTGCTCTCTTCGATCTCTTTCTCGTTCATGCCCTCAGTCTTGTAAGTGAAACTGTACTAGTGTACCTGCAGAATCACTACTGCACCAACTTCTCCTCTTTCCCCACGCCCACGTACGTCGACCCATACTATACTATAGTAGTACTAGTGTAGTGCCCTACAATTACAAGTCAAGTCAAGTGAAGGGGTTGTTAGTTAATTGGCCTCTTCTCTTTTCGCCACTAAAGCATCAAAAGGTGAAAAAGTAAGCAAGTGTCGGTTGGAGTGCCCTTATACTTTTATATATAGAGTAGAGGACGGGCGGGGCGGCGGACTGAAGAGATGAAGGAAAGGGAGAGGAAACAAGCGGCGGCGGCGTCGCCATGCGCGGCGTGCAAGCTGCTGAGGAGGAGGTGCGCCAAATACTGCGTGTTCGCGCCATACTTCCCGGCGGAGGAGCCCCACAAGTTCGCTAACGTCCACAAGGTCTTCGGCGCTAGCAATGTCAACAAGATGCTTCAGGTAAGCTATTCATTACTATATATATATTTAGATGTACGTACTTAGCGGTTGCGGTTGCGGTAGCTCCTCTTTCTGTTTCTTCTTAATTCACTTCCTTCTCACGCCTTTGCTTCTTCCATTAGTAGCTAGGTTGGTAGCTCAATGATTGTTTTTTTTCTTCTTCTTCTTTTCTAGTTAAGTTAGCACTTCCGTTTCCAGTCCACACAGTCTCATAACCAAGACCAAGAGAGGCGGCAGCCCAATCTGTCAAATTCACTCTTTTCAAAGTGACATTATTAAGGAAAAAATCAAAAAATGCACGAATTATTAAAAACAATTCCCAATCTACAACACTTGTACAAATATTTCCCAAAATACCAAAGTTTTACGTGGTTCGAGTCGGACAACCTCGATCTACAGATAGGTTCGAGTGACAGAGCCTCGATCCACGAGCATCGTAGTAAATCCACTCGATTGGCGGAGATCTGACGGTAAGGATCGAGCTTCAGTGCCACGATCCGCGTAGATCGAGGGTGATGGACTCGATCTATGCCAAAAGAAGATTTTTCGCCCTCCGAAATCGTGGGAATTACCATAAACGTTCCATTAATTATCTTACATAAATATTACCATTTAATGTTTTTCCTTTTTTATTCTGTTTTGAAAATAAACGTCCTTTCTTAGCAAGAACCCTTCCTTTTTCTCACCCTATAATCCAACGTTCAAAACTCTTCCTTTTTATCATAAAAAAAACCCTTCCTTTTTATCATAAAAAAAACCTTCCTTTTATCATAAAAAAACAGTTTTTTTTTATTACAAAAAACATCCCTTTTTGTAATGAAAATGTATATTAATTTCGCATAGCATAATGCACCGGATTAAAAAACCTTCCTTTTTTTTGTTAAGAAAGGATGCTTTTATTTTCAAAATGAAATGAAAAAGCTAAGTAATAAATAGGTAAACGTTGGGCAATAATTAACACGTTAATCCACATTCAATGCCCTATCATCCGTTCGAATTAAATAGGGTAATTAATGGAAACGTTTTTGATGATTCCCCATAACATTGGCCGACGAAAATAGGGTTTAGGGGGGTGGTTCGAGGCAAAGAAGATCGAACGGCGGAGATCGAGTTTCTCTTCCTCGATCTATTGCGACCCTTCACTGGATCGATGATTACTGACTCGAACCCTTCAGTGGATCGAGTTTCTTTGACTCGAACCGCGTAAAACTTATGTATTTTGGGAAATATTTATATAAGTGTTGTAGTTTGGAATTTTTTTTTAATTAATCTTGCATTTTGGGAAAAAGACCCATTATTAAGTGTGTAGCTAGCTAGCTGCATGCGTATTTGTCCTTTTGTTTCTGCTTTTTTTCTTTTCTTTTTGAAAGGGAGTATAATATAATCTCTCTGCTTTCTAATTCCATTTCCCTCTACTTTAGTAATGATGATTTTATTTTTATATCAAGGTTTGAATTGAATTCATGATGTGATGCGAATTTTATTCTTCTAAATTATCACTGCACAAATTATACAAATTTAATTTATTGGTCTTGATTCAATTCCAACTACGTACTTTTATATCTTTCTGTTTCATATCTTTGTCTTCAACATATATAGTTACCATGAGAGAGAAAAACCAACTTTTACTAACAATTTAATTTATGAAGGGTTTAGTTACAATTTAGCCACCTAACCTAACCTAACCAAGTCGTGATTAAGAGAGAGATAAATTGCACAAGTAAGTCACCTTTAGCCGAATGCAATATGGAGGAATTTTACAATGCTTTAAAGCATTGGTGCTTTAGTTTTTCCCTTTATGGTACAACTTGAAATTGTACATTTACCGTTATGGTACAACTTTAGGTTGTACCTATACGCTTTTGTAAAATCCCTTTATGGTACAAACTAAAGTTGTACATTTAAGTTATGGTACAACTTGAAGAGTTGAAGTTGTACCACAACATAAACATCAAATTCCCTTATGGTACAACTCTAACTTGTACCTTTACCGTTGTGGTACAACTTAAAGTTGTACTTTAAAGCACCAATACTTTAAAGCATAGTAGAAAGGCTCATGCAATATGATGCTAATTAATTGCTAAACTAGAGGATGAATTAGTTAGGATGTAAGCACAAAGAATGGGACAAAGACGACAGGTAGGGTAGGGGCCAAGCGCAAATTACAGAAACCTCCCCTTATCTCTTACTCATGCTTGCACATGCACACACATGGTATATTATTATTAGGCAAAATTCATCTCTGTAGCCAAAACTTTGACGGTTGTGACAATAATAGCCACTTTTGGAGAAATACCAAAAATAGCCAGAAATTTGAAAGTTTGATGACAATAATAGCCATTTCCGTTACATAGTTTGACGGTGTCAATGACACCGTTAGTCAAATTACCGGAACGATGATCTGGCTGCCAACTCACCTGACACATCATTGACAACTCACCAATACTTGCCACATATACGTGACACGTCAGATTTTATTTTAAAATATTTAATTAATTTATTAAAAAAAATCATTTATAAACAAAAAAAAAAGCCAAAAACTGCCCCACTTCCCCTCACTGTCGCCATTCTTCCCCTCACCGTCGTCCATTCTTCCACTCCACCCCACCTTTCTTCTTCTTCCTCCTCCTTTATATTGCAATTTTGGGAATTTAAGGTCCAACCCAGGTGCAAAACCATATCCACTTCACCCCACCCTTCTCCTGCCACATCTTCCTCAGATTTACCCCAAAACCCAGAAATCCCTAAATCTCCAAATCGATTTCCCTGAAAAAGAAAGAATCGAGAAGTCTCGGCTTCCTTCCTTGTTGATCCCTCCCACCGCTAGCACCATGGGCTGATAATGACCTCGACAACTCCGACAACAGATCGGGTGTCGCCGAGAAGCAATGGCGGTGCTCACTTCTCCCTTCCTTTCGTTCTCACCAACGACAGAGATGGCGAACTCGACGGCAGCGAGATCCTGGACCGACTTTGACCCAGAACCGGCATCAATTGAGAATCGGAAGAGAATCGCTCCAGAAGACATTGGAGGAGAATCGAGCGCCAGACGGAGGCTCCTTCTCTAGTGTCGGCACCGCCACTAGGGTCGTCGGCTTCAATTCTGTAAAATCGGAGGGAAGACTCAGCGACTTAGTTGGCTCGATGGTGGTGTTTTTGAGAGAGTGAGAAGCAATAATGAAAGGTTTCAAAATGGTGGTGGTAGTATCGACGAAGGAAGCTGTGAAGGGATTGATTTTTATTTAGGTTAGGGAAATTGTGGAGGGTTGCAGAAGAGGCGTGGTATTGATTATTGAATATAGATGAACAGGAGGTGGTGATGGAGAGAAATATTTTTGTTTTTATTGTTTTTTTATTTAATTAAAATACAAGGATAAATTTTTGCTTATTTACCACCTAATATTATTTTTTCCACCTAATTTTATTTTTGAATAAAATATGCCACGTCAACCGCTGCTGTTAGTCCAGTCAGCACGTTAACTCACACCGTTAAAGAATTGGACGGAAGTGGCTATTTTTGGTATTTCGCCAAAAGTGGCTATATTTGGTTAAACCGTCAAAGTTTTGGCTATACAAGTGTATTTTGCCTTATTATTATTATTATTATTATTATTATATAAATCATGTGTACGTTTATTCTTCCCATCAGATGAATAGCTTTTTTGAGAGCGGCTAAAGGATAAGTTAAAAGCCTCCCCTCCCTCTATTTCATATTCACAAAATTGCTCAGCACCAACTAATGCCTTTTTCAATTTAAACTCCACCCTCATCTACTTGTTGGTGGGATTGGTAAATAGATAATTAGGAATTGAAGCAGTCTTACATTCTAATTCCGATAGTTATTATTTTTCATTATCTCATCGTGATTGTCAAAAACACTTGTGTTGAAATTATTTCTATTACAAAGTTCCTCGCAACAATTAAAATTTATATAGATTTTAATTTTCCATGTCTGTTTCAAAGAGTAATTAATTAAGAAGACATTACTTGCATGACATCATGAGGAGAAGAAGTTAGTTGTTTTACATAATCTGATAATAGAGGGAAAACAGGGGTTGTGAAGTAATTAAACTAGGCAAATTTGGAATTCAAAGCTGTCCTTTTCCCTTTTCAACAGTTAGTATTTCTCACGTTATACTCAAGTCATAATGAAAGCTAAATCTGCCTGTCGAACATCAAAGAAGAAAAAGTTATATCTGTCGATGATTTCATGAGGCGTTCCACTAATTCAAAGAGGATTATTGGTGGAGCCAAAGCCCTAAGCATATTTATTTTCTTCTTCTTCTTCTTCTTCTTTCTTTTGATTGGATTGAAAGAGGGGGGGCATTGTTGCATTGCATGTGCGCTTGAATGGGGCCAACCGATATTGGCGCCACAGCATCAACCCAAACACATGAGCAAACAAAGGGTTGTTATTCATCATCCTAACTTTTACCGTGATTTTCATTTGATTTGTTTTGCGGTGATACGACTTAGTGTTTAAATTTTTGAAATGTTTATGTACATTGATGTGAAGGGTGATTTTAGAAAAATCTAAGATGATGACTAGCCTAGCTTGGCACATAGAGTGAAATTAAGTAAATTATACTATTACAAAATAAATTTATAAGAGAGTATCACAAAATAATAACATAAAAAACTTTATATTAATAAGTATACTTTTAAAAAACATTAAATAGATAATGATCAAATAGTAATTAATTATAACAATGGTAATTTTCATGGTCGAGCAACCTCGAAGCTCCAAGTCCTAATCGTAATTGGTCATCTTACTAGGTTCTCGTACCCAGTTTAACTTTAAACTGGAACTGGTCAAATTTAGTCAAACACGTCTAAATCTATAAATTTTTTAATTATTTAGTCCAGTAAATTGAGTCAATCAACCGTTCCTCTCTACCTTTTCCATGTACACTTTTTCTTTCTAATTTTCAATGCAAATTCAAGTCACCTAAGAGATCTCGATTCGACTAGGCAAACCTTGCTCTCGGGATCAATCGGTCACCCCGAACAACATTTACATTAATAATAAGTTAATAACTATAATAAAACAATTCATAATATTAGGTAAATAAAGAAACAATTAAAAAGATACAAATCTATGATGACTCTCACCCCTTCCCTCTTTTCTTCCCTATAGCAAATTTGCACCCCCTAAAATTAAATTTTACAAATTGACCAAACAGGTATAAACTTTGTTGAAAATTGTGTTAAGCCCTCTAATTTGCACCATCTCCTGCTGTAGCCAAACAGAGTGTTAAAAGTGGGCAGTTTTTGGCGAGTTAGTTAAATCTTGATGTGAAACTCGTGTGTCCCTTATTTTGGTTGAAATATGTGAAATAGTAGTGTAGTGTGTATAAATGATTTGGTTGGATGGGTCCAAAAGAGATTAACTAGTCTAACCAAAAGAAACTACTTGGTTTGGTGGTGGGTGGGTGCAGGAATTACCAGTGCACCAGCGAGGAGACGCGGTGAGCAGCATGGTGTACGAAGCCAACGCCAGGGTGCGGGACCCGGTGTACGGCTGCGTGGGCGCCATCTCGTCGCTGCAGCAGCAGATCGACCTGCTCCAGACCCAGCTGGCTCTGGCCCAAGCTGAGGTGGTCCACCTCCGGCTCCGCCAGACCGCACCGGGCTTCTCTGGGAGCCCAGCTCACAGTACTGGGTCTCCTCCAACTTCAAGGCTCATGGGGAGGCCCATCTTCGAGATGGACATGATCGACCAGTCCATGTGGTCGTGCTAGTCTAGCTCTGTGACTAGCTAGCCCAGGCCCAGGCCCAGGCCCATTCTCATCATCCTACATTCCACCATCTCCAGTTTGAGTATTTGAAAATGGAGGATTTTTCTTTCTTACTCTAGTTGTAGTAGTCTATGGTATACAAGCAAGCAAGGAAGCACAATAGCACGTAGCAGCTCTACCATGGCGGTGGAGCGGTAACGACCCGGCCGACATCTGTGGCCGTTCGAGCCGTTTTTATCTCTTCTCTTTTCTGTTTTGGTATTTGGGTTTGTTTGCTGGATTGTACATATAAAATTAGTTTAAAAACCAATCTATCTATCCATAGTATCCTGCTGCTTATCTAGACTCTAGAGCCACTACTATGATTTATAACTACAAGTAGAAGTTTGCCTTAACAGTCGACATTTCAGCATTCAATAACACTTGAGAATCCCATACCTTACTCAAGTTGCGCGTAAAATTTGGTGTCCAGCGCAGTTTTCTTTACCGCGATTGACGATTTCATCAAAACTAATTAACAGCACATAGGCACATTTGATTGATATTTAAGCTAAATGTTACCATCATATGAAAATGAAAATGAAACGAAACTCACTCCAGTTCAGGCAGCCTGCAAATAAATTGGATGTCAATCCATCAGCTAAGGCCTAAGGCCTAAGCTAACCACACACAATTCAGATTTCAGAAACAAACATCAATTGAACTGATTTGAAGTGTAATTACAAACATTCCCAAGCAAATTCCCAGATCCCCTTTTGCTGTTCTGTTTTTACCCCACCCCACCCCACCCAAAATCAAAATCAAGAGATTTCAAACATCCTTGACAACGAGGTCTCCATTGATGAACTCTCTGTAAGCAGCAACGGGCCAAGAGAATCCCCTGAAGATCAACCCAGTAGCCAGGGGAACATCGATGATGATCTCCTTCATGGCGGGCTTCTTCTCCCCGCTGATTGCAATCAGGTAGCTCCGCCCAACCCACCCGATCCACCCGGCGATGTAGAGGAACAGCACCCCTGGGGTCACGAACTCGCCCCAGTGCCTCTGGTCGCCGCTCACGATCAGGTGCGGGAGCCCATCCGAGCCGCACAGCAGGCCCTGTTTCCCGTAGTTGTCGAACCGGCGCTTAGTCTTCTCCATGGTGGCTTTAATCGCCAGGGCAGGGGCGCTGTCGGGGGCGTACAGCTTCAGCGACGACTCCAGCTTCTTCAGGGACTGCTTCTCCCGCTTAGCGAACTGTTTGGACTCCTTGCACGGGGTGAGGCCGGAGATGTCGGCGACGGCCGGGAGTGGGGCGGACAGGAGGATGGAGGAGAGGGCTAGGGCGGCGGAGAAGGCCTGGACAGGCGAGGCGGCGGCGGTGGAGTTGTTGTTGCTGTCTTGGGAGGCAGAGCATACAAAGTTGGATCGAGAGAGGGATTGCGATTTGGGGAGGAGGAAGGAGGCGGCGAGCTTAGGGTTGAGCTTCAGCATTGGGTTGGAGAGGTTGGTGGGGATTGTGAGAGACATTTTTTGCTTGTTTTTCTTCGCTCTTCTCCTTCTCCTTCTCCTTCTCCTTCTTGTTCTAGCTCTGAGGAAGGGAGTGTGGAGAACAGAACAGGGGAAGAGGTTTTTACTTTTTAGATTCTGATGGGGGAAGAGATGGGATAGGGAAGTAGTGGAGGAGGGGAAACAAGGGGATAAGGCGGGAAGGGAAGAGGGAAGGTGCTGAGGTGGAAGGCTGTGATTGGGCCAAGGGGTGATTGTTGGGCCTGGTCTTGAGATTCTTTCTACTCTCTCTGCTGATATCTGATCCATTACAGGATTGGCGGGTAGGGTTAGTACTATTTACTATTTAGTAACAGTATACCCCAAATTCGTGTGTCCTGCATGAGCCTAATTTGCATTTTGTATACCTCTTTTCCCCCCCCTGTTTTTGGCATCATTCAACAAAAAGATCGACTTGTCAACCATGATCTTACATGAGCAAATATGATTAACTCAAAGGATTAGAATCCAATTGCTTGATAGATATGCATTATAAGCTAAAGAATGAGCAACTCAATTAATTTTCATGTTGTTTGAATCTAGAATGAAATCTAGGTCAATACAGTAATATTATGGGTTCTGATCTGTACTCTCTTGTCCAATCTTTTCGAGAGTAAAAGAATATGTGAAGAAGAGGGGGTGACCCCCGTGATCTATACTCTGACGCCCAAGTAGTTAGTACGGTATAAGAATAGTGTGTGTGTATGGAAGTTAGAGACATACCTCAAGTGGTGGGAGTAGAAAGATAAGGAGATCTTTTGCTTGGAGGCATGAGCCTTTTTTATTTATTTTAAAGGTGAGACACCTTACGTATGTTAATACCATATAAAAACACATATGTGGACAAATGTGTGATAACTTCGGTGGACGGGGTATACCTCAAATCACCCATCATAATAGCAATCCATGCACATCATCTTTATGGTCATATAACTTGACTCGCGATAACATGAATCAGGATCTTGAAGTTATAGTTTTACATGCATTGAATTCTACCTTCTTGAAAAAAATCTAAATGAGTTTTAAAGAGCTTTCGCTTCAATCTCAATCGGTAAAGAACATATGATAGAATCACTTATATGATCTCATTTAGCCTCTTGATGAAGTTCGAATTGAGCTCCAAAAGATCTATCAATGTTGGAAAGAAAAATGGCAGAATTTGGCTAAGTGTTCATATTGTTTCGTGGTGCCTGCTTTACAGGTTCATATCGTACATTCTGGTTGATGGGAATACGAGAGGAAGGGTGGAAAGTGAAGAGCTCGTGTTTGTTTATCAATTTGAAGGGTCGTTTGCACCAGCTCGAGCCTTCAAGGCCCTGAACAAAGAGTGGCAAGTTGCTATGGTAAAACTGGAAGGATGCCTGTTTTTGACTAAGTCTGGAAACAGTTTCCGACACCAACTTTGGAGGCTTATTAAATGCGAATGGAGTATTGTCGACGGGAAAGAGGAGATGGAAATTAAACTCCAAGAACAGGAGTACAAACGACTGAAGGCTATTTGGAACGTTGATCCCTGGAAGACTACATTCGAGGGCTTCAAAGATGCTATGGAGACTGGTCTCATTGCTGGCGCAGGAAGGCAGCAGCTTGGACGAGAAGCAATTGGATTTTGTTACCTTTTTAGACTTAGGATTCTGTTTCCTTGTCAAGCTAGAGTTAGGTATTGATTTCCTTGTTAGTTTAGAGTTAGAATTAGGTTGTTTGTTGTCTATTTAAAGGCTTGAATGCCTCGTGTACAAGGCATGAGTTTGATGAATAAAATTGAGACTTGTCTCCCAAAGCTTGTGTGTTGGTTGATTCCCAGCTACGAGTTGCTTCGTATCGATTGAAAACACATCAATCGTGGTCGAGCTTCACTTCAAAACCAATCGAGCCTTCTTCCACGTGAGGATTGCACCTTTGGGTCCGTTTTCTTTCGTTTTAAGTTGTTTATATTCGAGTTTCGTTGGAAGGGAGTTGGGCTGTGCACTTTGATCCTCTACAAGCACTACCGTGCTCGTATTAAGTGGCATCATCGCCTGGTTCTACACAGAGGACAGAACGGAGGGAAGAGTGGCAGCAACTGCGCCGTGGACGAGATCGAAAGGTTCTGCGTCTGCTGACCCTGCTCTTCGAGGGAAAAAGCCAGAGCCACTACAACAAATTGGACCTATTTTGACGGTAGGTTTTTGTCATATTAGACCTATGTTTTGTCAGATTAGGTTTATTATGACAAATTAGGTTGTCACAACGTGTTGTCATTTAATCTCCGCCAGGATAGGTCAAATATGACAAATTTTTAAAATACAGTTGTCACATTTGCTGTATGATATTGTGACATATTCTTGTGTCATATTAATGGTAAGAAAGTGACGAATAGTTTTGTCACTATAAGGGTGTGGTTTGTCACATTTGGACTTTGGTTTGTCAGTTTAGCTCATGTTCTAGTTAGTCTATTGTGACAGACATAGATTTTATGACGAAATATATTGTCATTAGTTTTGTCATAATTTCCTAATTTTGTCAGAATTGTTATTCATATTATACAATTAGACGACGGATATATTTTGTCATTACTGCATATTATGACGAGTTTAGTTTGTCGTGGAAGGTGTTGTATGTGCCTCGTGTCAAATATGACGAGCAATATTTGTTAGGTAATGTACAATAAAGTGGTGAATTGACTTTGACATTACATTTGAACTAATACAAGAAAGACACAATTCAAAATGAAACCTGCATTGCATTAATAGATAAGCACCACAATAGAGTACTAACCAAATATTCAAAATATTACAATCATTCCAAGCATTCTAACTCCTTGCTCACCATAACACAAAGAACAAGTAGGGTTCCTCCTGTTTTTCCGTCGCCGGTGGCTCCCTTTTTCCTACAACCAAGATGGGAAGTCATTTGTTATTAAAAAAACTAAGGAAGAAAAGAAAACTAAAACAGCAAGGCAACAGGGAATCCAAATCATCATAAGTTTTAACCATTACCGACGTGAAATCAATATAGGAATCCAATTTTGAATACTAAGGTCAATTGGCTAAAGATTGATCATGAAATGAACTTTGCAAGAAGGTAGGTAACATCAACGAAATAGGGAAATATCTTGTATGCTTTCATTTTAGACTAGCTGATAAAGACTAAGGAAGAATGACACCCCTGTTTGAAAATCCAATTTTCATATAAGAGATGTGGAGTTATACATAACATAAAATTAAGCTAAATGATACGAAGACTAAGGAAGAAAGAGATGGATGCTAGAAACAAGGTTTTATACAAGATTTCCAAAAAATCATATAATCAACTCATTAGGAAATGACATTCTTGATTATAACCAGGCATAACAAGGAAATAAATAGGCACTAATGATGCTAAATGACATTGTTGATTCAACCTAGCACTATCTCCGAAAGAATATTGAACAGGCAAGCTACAATGGAGGAAGTTCAATGAAACTTAACCATTACAGCGAGTTAATAGGGTATAAATGCTAGATTAGCAACTTCAATACAGGTAAAAGATTGCTAATAAAGTTTACAACAACGGTAACTTCAAGAGGAATAAGAGGACTACTAAACTTACCCGAGATCTATGAAAACGAGCTAACCCTTTTGCCACACTGTTTGACTTGCCTTTTCTATTTTACCTTATAGATCGTTTAGAGTTTGTGATTATTCCCACAAAGCATCACAAACAGCCTGTTGCAGAAGCACAATATTCATGTTTGTAGTTTATTCCCATAAAAATCATGATAAACAACAGGGAGGCTACATTCAATAAATTATACATTATTCAATCACATATTCAGAAGAAATCAACGCATAATAGAAGATTTAAGCTAAATCTCCTTCTCTAACTTACTTGCTATGTCCCTCGGAATTCATCCTCCTCTGCTTCGAGCAGTTTTTTTTAATAATATGCTTCGAACAACTTTCACTCTTATACCCTCAATCCAAGCAGATTTATGATGGATCTTTTATTTTTATGATTTTATCCCTTGCTTCCTTGTTCACGATGGAGAAGAGTCTCATGTGTGTGACAAATAGAGAAAGACTATTTTTAGGGTTTCGCATGATAAAAGTTGGGCGGTGGATTCCAGAGCCGGGACCTTTTCCTCCCTTTTCTCCGAGACCAGAAACCTCGCCATCAATCCCAAAAAAATCAGATTAAAAAAACACAATCAGAACCCTAACTCAAACCTTAAAAATCGACATGCAATGGAAAAATGGATCCTACCTCTGCCGCCGTCTTTTAAATCGTCGCCGGCATTGGCCACTTCCATCCTCGCTGCCGCCTTTGTTCTCTTTTTCTCTCAACTTTTCCGAAAAGAACGAGGGGAAGGAAAGGGACTTCATCTCTGCTCCGGAGACAAAAGAAAGAGTAAGGAGAGGCGGATCGAGAGATAAAAAGTGAGATGAGGAAGAAGAAGAATCGAGCAGAAGAGGAGATGCAATGGAAGAAGGCTTCCTTTCCTTCTTTCTTTTGTTCGCTATAGAACGAGAGAGAGAACAGAAAGGGGAGGGAAAAAGAGATAGAGGGTGGCTAGGGTTTCTTCAATACCCAAACCAGTTCATTATACCAAACTACTATTTTGTCCTCAATATTCCACCAAATTACCTATGTGTCATCGTCTTCTGTAAAAATTCAAATCATAACTATATAGAGGGAAAACTGAGAAGTCACCCACCAAACTCTAATTTTCACCCGCTAAAACGAAAAAATACATTTTAATTGCGCCTAATAGGTATTATGACAACCTAATTTGACATAATAAAAGTGAAACCAATATATTATGACGAATCTGCATTTTGTCAGCTCGCCGTGGGAATAATAATGTCTATTATGACAATAGACTTTGTCAATTGAACATGTCATGACGGTATAATATGACAAACTCTATTCTGACGATTAACTTTGTCACTTTTGAGTCTCCTACATCCCAATTGGGGATGCCTATTTTGACAACATTATTTGGGACATAAGATATTTGTCAC